CCCGGGATCCGAACCCGGGTCGCCAGCAGTGGAGCGCGCTCACTTAACCACTAAGCCACGGGGCCGGCCCTCCTCATTTATTTTTATGGTTGTGAGGAAGCTGCTAAATGGAGAAAGATTTAAAATGCAAAACAGAGAATTTTTATCAAGGTTTATTTTTTAAGGATGTGGGAGAATAAAGTGCATTCAGAGACTATATTTCCTAATCGTGGCAGAAAATTGATTATAATTCTCACAATGAATCTAGTAATATAAAAAGAAACTGTTGGCTAGATTTCAGCTGAAACAGTTTCAGAGTTAGTTGATTATAATTCCAAAATTTTCAGCCCACAGGAGAATACAGACTGAATGGTGTCCCACTCACATATTTTCATGTGTTGGCCCAATATGAGTATTTTGTGTGAAGACACTTTCTACGTATTCTAATTTGACTGATTCCCTCTCTGCAGTGTGGACCATCTCTGATATTGTTTTCTATAAGTGAAAGTTCTGTGCATCAGTGATTCTTATAGTTTAGATGAAAAGTAGTGGGCTAGAAATTATACTGAAAACAGGAAAAATAGGAGCATATTTCTCTAAAGAAAGAAGGAAAGTGTTCCCTGAAATAGTTTTTTACTTTTGCTTCTGTAAGGGAAAAGATAACTTTGGATTATCTTTATGGTAAGGTCCACAGACTTTAGATGGGCTTATCTAAAAATGAGTCCTGCGAACTTTCCTAGAAGGCTAAATGAACCATGTCACACCATCCTAGTCTGGAATTAATGAACCAATTTATCTTCCATACAGTTTCAGTATGATAATCATTCCATTTAACCAGAGGGTCAGACTACTTAAGAAATGGATGAGGTACCTTAGTTTTACTTTAAAACTGCATATGGTTTATCTTTTTTTAGTATCATTAAAAAAGCAGAAATTCCTTAAATAATTACTAAATTGAAGTGAATTCATTTACTCTAGGTATCCCTGGCTTTCTGTGCTAACACTGGTGTATTATTATTATTATACATCTATATGACACAACGTTAAGTAAAACTTTTTTTATTGTTCCAGAATAGTATCTAGGTCAAAGATACGGTAAAAGAAATATTGAGCACCAAACATTTGAAAAAGAGCTACCAACAATTTGGGCCTGATGCTTCCCGTGGGTCTTGCAAAGAAACATCAGGACCAGCTGTAGCCCAGTAAGAGGACTGGAGAAGGGGATCCAAGGAGTAATGGCTCAGAGTTAGGCGTCCTTGGTGTTTGGGGGAGTCAACAGTCTCTTGAAAAGATTTCCCTCCCAGTGAGAAAAAAAGGTAGACGCTTCCCCATCTCCTTGAAGACAAGTTGTGGAGGAGTACTCCAAAAGGTTTGTAGAGAAAGGAATCAGAAATAGTAAGAGGAAAATTATCATCCTGATCCCAGATTAAATGCTAGTGTGACTGTGGAATTTTCACATCTCCTTGATGTATAAGAAGAGTAGAGTATGATGAGCAAATTTTTGTGAGAGCTTGACATATGTTCCCTGACTTTGGATGTCAACATAGAGACTAGACCTGCTTTTGTTTGGAATTTCCTACAGACTGCATGCTTACTGGACTATCTCTTGACAGCAGGGACGGAAAGGATTATTATATAGTGTGCCTAGGAATAAAATGATGGAGGAACACACAAAGACTCAAAGCTATCCTATAAGCACAGAAAAGTTAGAGAAGTGGAGAGAAGTTGTGGGACTGCCCAGAAGGTTGTCAGGTCAAGTGAAGTTATACACAATAAGAGAATGGGTTGAATAGAGGTGAGGTTGAATGGTGATATGGCTGTCCCTCTCTGAAGAATAGAAGGGGCCAAGAAAATCACATATACCATCTAAGTGGAAGCCATCACATAAGCCAAGATTACCAGCAGTAATAGGAACCAAACTAAACCCAAGGGATGTCATGAAGTTCCCTCCATCACCAAAAGGTGATCAGACCCCTCTAGCCCCCAATAGCAGAGGAGATGAACTTTTTCAACAGAGGGGCAATATCCTAGAACCAACCATACTGCCCCCACACTTATCTAAACAGACCTACTAAATCAAAAATCCTCATCCTATGTTTGAGGATATTCTGGTAGTAAGACCACTCGTATTAATTGAGTAGTCTGGGCATGATGGGAGTACAAAGGAAATACAAGAATTAGTCCCTGCTGGCTATAGTGTCAATGAGGAGAAGGCAAGACAAACAAATGACAAAGGACAATGTATAATTAAATATGTGATACTGATGAGATGTGGGAGAGATCAACATGGGCTATGATAATCATTCAACAAGTCTTCATCGAGATGGAGGAGTTTGTTTTGTGGATGGGGTAAGAAGCAGATTCTGCTCTACATGATAAGGAATAGGCAGCAGATTCTTAGTGTGAACTGAAGTGTCTACCAAGCAGCCCTGTAAGCTTGCCAGATTCCCTTTGAGGGAAAACAAAGGACACAGGGAAATAGTCACCATTGTAAACAAGACAATACCAGAAATAAAAAAAGTATCAGCATCTGTCTGTTGAGAGTATTCAAGAATCATCTTTTCATAGATTCATCACTTCCTGGTCTGGATGTCATTAATTATTTATCAAATTTTCACCTCCATAAACTTATCCATTTCTTCTCCTCTACTTGTATAATCAGGCCATTGCTATCCCTTACTAAGATTCTAGTATTAATAATAATAAAACAATATTAATAACAGTATTAGGAACTTTTTTTTTTTTTGGTAAAGGAAGTAAAAGTCTATTTTGACCACATTTTCCATATAAAAAATTAGGATGCATAATTTGGCAAATAGTGCTATGCTCTGTATGGCACATAGAAGCCACTCAGTAATTGCCTGTGGTGAACAGGGCAGGATGTTTGAAATCAGGATTGTCCTGGAAAACCTTGGAGATTTGGTATTGTATACATGCTCTTCAAGGTGCTAACCATAGATCTTATACCGGAGATGCATATTTGTAATAAGAATTTTTAAAAATTTATAATTTGCTGAGCTACTACTTTTGAAATGCACAGCTAATATTTTAATAATCAATCTCCTTAAATCATTCACATTGTGATTATCCTATTTTATAGTTAACAAAAAGTAGGATCTGATTCAAAATATTAAGTGATTTGCCCAAAGCTCTAGTTCTACAAATAAATATTGAGGCTAGAACTTGAAACTATTTCTGTCTTAATCTAATGCCTACCTTTTCATGTTACCTTGCCTCTTTTGCAATTGCCTTCTAATCTATCTTTCTACTGCCGTTCTCTCCCATTTCACTTAAATCTATCTATAATAAACTGCCCCAAACTCAGTTCAGATAATGGGAACTATTAGTAAGAAAAATAAGAACATTAACGTTAAGCCCTAGTAAATTCTCAGCACTAATCTAAACATTCTTCATGTGTTAACACATTTAATGCAATCCTTCAAACAATTGTTAAAATATGAAATTCAACCAAGTAAATTTTAAAGATCTTATTGGCTTTCTTCAACAATTTGTGAATTGGGCAGCATCCAGTCTAGCTGATAGAAAAGAGCTCTGAGGAGCTGTACAAAACTAAAAAGACTTTTACAGGCAGAAGGGAGCAGGAACAAGGCAGTTATACTAGACAAAAAAGCAGGTTGGTTATTGCACAGTTGCTTTCCTTTAGGGGAGGGCAGGGATCTATCAGGCAGATTAGCCAACTAGTGCTGATCAGGCAATTCCTAAATGACTGGTTTAAGATTCTATTTCTGGGAGAGCTGAAACTATAAGTCTCAGTTTGGTGACATGGGGTTTAGCACAAGCAACTCCATTTTGGGCCTGTTGTCTTGTTTTTAACACAACTCAAAAATGGCTTTGTGTGTGTAAGATTTACTTTATTTTGAAGTTGGAGAAGTTGAGGAATAGAGTGATCACACAGCTTGCAGAACAGCTGGTAAGTATTTGAGCTGAAACTCACATTCATGAAGTTGAATCCATGGCCTGCCTTCTTAATTCCAGTGCGAGGTCCCCTTTGCCTATAGTCCAAATGCCATAGACTGGTATATGATGTCCTCA